CAAAGAGTGATTTACTCCAAGTTTTGAAGCAAGAGTGGGCGAAAATCCCACAATCTAAAATTGACGAGATGATTCTCAAGATGCCCCAAAGAATCAACAAACTCCACGAAGCGAAAGGAAGATCTACTAGATATTAATTAAATTATAAATATATCAATTCATGTGAATATGACTGAAAAATTTCATTTTTTCTGAAAGGGTGGTGTCTATTTACTTGTGACCACGCTGTGTATATAATACAACATATGAATCAAATTATCCTATGTCCAATGGCCAAACAAATTTTGGAGCCACAAAAACTGACAGCACAGAGTATATATATATATGCAAATGTTACATGTATATTTGTTTACCTAAGTAAATAACTTATCCCTTTCTTTTTTTGGTGAATGTTGGGGGGTAGGGGTGGGGGGTAACTTGAAGGAGTAGATAAAGCCAAAGGCACACTTGGTAAGGAACAAAAGCTGCTTAGACTTTAAAATATTTTCATATCACCAGTTAAACAAAATCTTTATCTTTGAGAAACTAAACTACAGGAGAGATTATTTCAGACTGATAGAGCATTATTGTAAATATTTGAAGTATTTTTGTTTGTAGTTAAACAAAGACCTCTGAATCTACATGCATGCAGTTATTTTTACTACATCAACATAGTATAGTTTTTGTTAAATATTACATCAGTTGCTATAGCAAACATTGCTGGATATGGAGAAAAGTGGAAAAGATATCCTTGTAAAGGCTTTAAAAGGTGTGTTGAAAGTTTTGTAGAGCTGTCAAAAAATTGATAGAAAATTAAATTCACTTGAAGGAAAACTAAATCCTAGTTGAAGTACTTTTTAAAGCAATTATAAAAATGAATGTAATCCTGAAAAGTAATTCTTGAAAATGAGAATAAGAATAATGAGACATAATATTCCTGCATTTAACAACTTTGATCTACCTTTCAGTTGTTTGAATATGATAGAAGTCCATTTAATGTGAATTACTTAATTGAAAAAGTATTTTTGAAATATTATTTAGATACTATAAAATAAATATGATTAATATTTTTGAACGGTGGTAGTGTTTTGAAGATTAGCGATTATTAGTTTTAAGAAAATGACAAGAATAATTGAGGCATACCTTTATTTTGATGAAGTTAAGTTTTATAACTTCATTTGTTTATATATTCGAGCATGAGAAAAATCTTCTGTGTGAGCTGTTACAAAATAAACATTTCCTGTTTTATCTATAGATTATTTTGAGCTTACAAAACTGTAACGATATTCATCTAAATAGTTTCTCATTTTTTGTAGGCTATTGATAAAGATGGCCCTAGCCAGGGAGGAGGAAAAATAAAATATAGCATAAAGACAAGTGACTTATCTGTAAAGGAAGCCCTAGCTGTTGACTCAACAACAGGTGAAGTAAAGTTACTGAAACCTCTCAAATTTACAGACACACCTCAGAACTCAGGATTATTTTCAATTGTTGTTGAAGCAACTGATGGTGGTAATCCACCTCTTTCAGCAGAAACTGTGGTTGCATTTAAGTTGAGGGTGAGTTCATAATGACACATGCATAACAACACCTGAAATAAGTTATATTATCTTACTTTGTATTTTATTACTCTGATTTAAATAAAACACTTTCTTATTAAAGTTTTAAAAAAGCTGATTATACAGTAGCAATAATTTTCAAATATAGTAATTTTTGAAAAAGTTTTAAAGAAGATTTCACCTAGGTTTATTTTGTAGGTTCCAACTTGTAGGGTACATTGTTTTATGTGTCTAGTTTTATTGTAATAAAAAAGCCAAAATTACATGTACAAAACTCCTCTGTGATTACTGTAATTTGTTTCAACAAGGGTATTTACTCATTCACAAATTAACATGATGTAAACCAGACAAAATAGTAAAGAAATAAAAGTTGCCAGAGGATGTAAATATAGAACTATAATTTGGTTATACATCATTTCATTCTATTTTTGTTTTTTATTATTATTGTTGTAAATAACCATCCTTATTACATGAATCTATGTATACATTATATCAAACAAATTATTGTTGTTTAGTAAAATGAATAAAATATCTATAAGAAGTCTAGTATAAATATCACTTGCTTAATGTTAACCTTGTTAATGAATATGTTAGTTGCGGTCTACTTTTGTTTGACAATAATGCTCTAATGATGTTTAGTGGTGTAAGCATGAAGTTACAGAAATAAAGGAACTTTGCACATCCCTATAAATATATAAAAAGTCAATATGCAAAATGATTATCAGATAAAGAATTATCTATCCTATATCTAAATATCTGTTATGAAGTTGGGAATTCATGTACATAAGTAGGAATATTGACATTCTCTGCAATACATGTTCTACTTTTCAAATATACTGCTTTTTAAGACAAACATTTCTACATTTCACTATTCAAAGAATCTGAAAAAACCTCATTGTAAATGACGTATTGAAAACATTTTTAAAATAGTGGATAATGAAGTGACTTAATAAGTAGTTACTGTTTGCATAAATGTATACTCTAAAACAAATGTTGAGAGCTTCTCACAGTTATAGTAATAAATTAGAAGTTCCTGCAACATTAAAAAGATGCTGACCATATATTTTGGCAAAATACAACATCATTTACATAACAAGGTTTATCAAAATACTAGGTTTTCATTCAATTCTCTTCTATAAAAATTTTCTTATAAATACAATTCTTCCTTGTGGTCTGGGTATGTACTGTATTCTAGATAGTTTGTTGTCTTTTTTTTTTCATGGACATCACTTTGCCAGTTGGAATACACATACCTCCTTACATAGAATCATTCTGGAGTCTTTCTTAATGCAAAAACAGATTCACGATTCTCAGCTGTATAAATTCATGCTTTATAATATTATTAGCTGTTGTAAGTTTGTGAAATTAGAAAAATGAAGTTAAGTGTTTTAATATTCATAGTAAGAAGATAAAAACTGTATATGCACATTTCAAAGTATTTACTAGGTAACCAAACAAAAGTATCATTCATTTACATGGGTGTAAAAGTTTTATATTGGGTAGGGAAATCCATAATGACACTTTTGGTGAGAACATAATCAGTGTAGTAAAGTATCAGAAAAAAAACAACATACAGTGAATTTTGGAACTTGGATTGTCTGGTGCTTTTTTGTTTTGTTTCATCCATAAGTCATTTTTTTTAATACACTTGCACACCCAGACAGTGATTTATTTGACAAACATACTGCCAGTGATGATCGCACATGTGTTGGCAAGTTTAGAGGTAAATATTTGTTTTAATTCTCAGACATTTTCAGTAATAGCAAAATTTTCTGTTCCAACCCATTCATTTATGTAGAGAGTGGAAATTGATTAACTCTTTTAATTATCCACCATTTTTAAGTTATTGTCACTAAAATTTTTAGCATTTGGGTTAGTGCTATAACATACTAGTAGGACTTGTTCTTATGTAAAGTACATCAGATTGTGTAGGATGTTACATAACCATTTGGAAAGTGCCTAAGAAATGAAAAATTAACAAAAAAAAACTGGTAAACATAGTAGTTTATTTTATAATTATGATTAAAATTAGTAATATTAATTATATTTATCAAAGAAGGTTGACATTATAGCTAGCAACAAGTGGAAATGTTTGTTCCATGCCTTTTGCATTTAAAGTAAGGTAAGTAACAAACAGATATCTAGTCTGCTACAAAATCTGATATTAGAACTCTTTTCACCAATTGTTTTTCTTTCAGAACAATTAGACATTTTAATTTTTATTTATATATGTAGTTATTTAATAAGATGAAATGAGCTGTTGAAAGTGTATTGACTTGCTGACAGAATTATCAGTTGTATTTATATTTCAGAAAGAAAATTATGGTGCTCCTGTATTCGTAGATGAGCCTTATTCAGCAGTTGTCAAAGAGAATGCACGAGAAGGTATATTTTGTTTAATATGCTTGATGTTAATATCCAAGTTACTTTGGTATACTTAAATTTTTTATAAAGAGCTTCAACTTAAATGATATTTTATTATGAATTTTTATAGTTCAAGAGAGTGAAACAATTATATATACTCAGAAATATGATAAATGAAAAGTTTGTACAATTTTTGTTCTTGTCAACAAAATGAAACTTAAGTTATTGTTACTATAGAGTTGTTGTACGTAATGCCTGTTTTGTTTAATTAATGTGAGAAATGTTGTGGAAATAAAGACATTACTTGAAGTCTTCTTCTAATAAAAATGGTTCTAATGCTCAAACAAAGTCTCGTGTAAGAGCCCTTTTTGAGTGATCTAACAAGTATGTATTTATTTATATTTTTAGCCACACCCTATTTATATTTGACTAAAATATTTTAACTGTTGATGCAGACAGTAAAGAAAAGATCAGAATTTAATATAACATTTTTTTTTCATATTGCAGTTAATGTTATATTTTTAATAGATCAAATATAAGGAAATAGATTGACAAAGAAGATATATTTCATTATATAATTAACCCTACATGCACAGAGTTGGTCCACTGAACTGATCCTGTATTAGAGAATTAATTTTTACATAATTCTGAATTTACTATATGTATCTTCACAATATTTGACAAGTTTTTAGTAAAGATGAAAAGTCTGTTGTACACAAAAAATCAGTTTTTCAACAAAGTATTTTTACTAAAGATTTGTTTATGAATTTACTGTTTGTGCTAGTACTTACTAATTGTATTATTCGTACCTCATTGTAAATAATTGTAAAAAAGTGAACATTTTCTAAAAAAAAAAATAATTTTTTTCTGGGAAGTACTGCATGGGGAAAGTGTTCAGTTTGTGCTCTTTAGTCATATTTAACATTTCTACCAAGTTTAAAGCCTATCCGTGCTGCCACTTTGGATTTATATATATTTATTATTTCTGTCACATAGATTGATAGATATCTAGATGGCCATGCCATTGCTCCATTATAGTCAGATAAACTATGTTTTGATTCCAAGTTTATTGAGATACATTGATAATAAAGTTGTTTAATTAAATTTTGTATTTAACTTAGTAAAGAGTCATGATGTGCACTTTGACCCTCACCCATGCATATAGGGTTAAAAAGTACTTTAGTTTAATATCAAGCCTTTTTATATCATGTTCTGTCACTGGATTAGCAGGAAACAAACAGGGTGATATGTACAGTAGCTAATCTGAGTACATTAGAAAAAAAAGTATCAAATATACTAGGGTTTTATTACAAATATTACATGTCTTCCTCAAACTTAAACCCCTCACAACTATTATGAACACAAAAGAAGTTATGAAATGTGGTAGATTTTGCACTTGAACCAAAATGTTTAGTTTATTTTCTATATAGTTATTCATCTACTTTCTTCTTATAAGTTTATTTATTTGTATCACAGCCAGTAATAATTTTAACATTCTAATTACTATTGTTGATGTTATTTGCTTATGAAGATATTTTAATGGTTTTCCACAGGGGCTTCTGTATTTCATGTAAAAGCTACTGATCCAGATGGTCCAGATGCAGATATTACTTATTTTCTTGAGGCTGGAGCCAAAGATAACTTTGTTGTGGATAAAGAAACTGGAGTAATAAGTGTTGCCAAAGGTTCTGACTTGGATCGAGATGTCTATGGAAACAGTTATCAAATTATTGTATGAACTATTTATCCTTTCATGATGTAAAAGATACAGCAAAAATTGTGATATTTTTTTTTCCTCAGGGATAAACTTACAAGTAATAGTGCATACTTCTTGTTTCTAGCATTATAGCATATAATATGTTTTTCTCTTGCATGTTTTAAAATTTAACAATTATTTCAACTTAAACAATGTTGTTATATGGTCTTTTCATCCCATCTTTTAGTACATCATATTCTCTGGTCATGATTGTGGTAACATTATCCCACTTTATCTTACAAGCAGCATGAGAGTTATGCTGCATGCAAATTAAGTAAGATTGCATTACGTTACTACAATAGTGCTCCAGAGCTATGGAACTTATGGTATCATTTTATGAATCAGTTAAACTTATATAATTAAATATAATTAAATTTTGCCTTATATTCATTAATAAGAATTTTTTGTTTTGTCTAATCATTTGAATACAGAACTTTCAAACCCTAGGCTTCAGTTTTAGAAAATGAAATGTTCATTATTTAATCTTTTTGAGCTAGGTGAACAAATACCATTAGTATTTCACTAGCATTGTGACTGCATTGCTCATCCCCTATATCCGGCTTTCGTTAGTTCTCAGTTACCTTCTCATGTTGACCTCTTCTCATTGCTTATGTTATCTGCCTTAAGGTTCTCATATTTTTTAAGTATATATTTGTAAGACTATGTATCTCTGTTGTTGTTATATTGTTTGTATTTTTGTAAACATCCTGTTATAAAGCCCAAACTTAACAAAATATTTAAAAAAATTAAATTTTTTTCTGAGCCAGATTTTTTATATTGAATGTAAGATATTTTTCACATTCACTTTTTATTTTCTATACTAGAAACAAAAGTTCAACTTTTTCTGTGCTGTAATTATAGTTTTTGCAGCTTTGAAGATTTTTCAAAGACTGCACTCTTTACTGGGTTCTTGTTTTGTACTTTCTTTTGAGTCCACTCTCTATTTGTGACTTATATCTATCAACCATTGTCAGAAATATCAAAATAGCTCGAATGTGTAGAGATGTAATATTCAAACACAAACTTTTCCTTTGGAGACAATATTATTTTCTTATAAAACTTCAATTTGTTGCTTTTTTAGAAGCATTACAAAAGTGGTGATCATTTTTCTTTCATATTTATTCCTCTTCCTGTTAACTATTTACTTAGTAAAATCCCCGGAAAACCTTCTAAAGACCTGGGTAGTGAAAGAGTTCATTTTATTTTTCTGTTAAACATAATATTTGTTTTGTCTTTTACATTCTAGTATTTGTAGAGGTTCTTAGTAAAGAAACTAAGTATGTAATGAGAGAAAATTTGTACAATTTCGTTGCCAGGAGATTATCTAACTGTAAAGAACACTTTATTCTTAACAGATCCATGCTGTTGACACAGGGCATCCCATTCCCCAGACAGCTACATCAACAGTTTCCATTACAGTGGAAGATGTCAATAATAAACCTCCTAAATTTACACAAGATAGCTATGTTCAGTATATTCCAGAAAGTCAGTATCACTTTCAACAGTGTGAAATTTAATTTTTTTATTTAAAATGTTATACTACTGCACAGCAATACATGTATTTCATACTAAACAGTAACTGCTGTTACAGAAGTGTTATTTCATTAACCATATACATCTCTAAAATTGAAAATTGTTTGTAACTTTAGTTATTAAAATTGTTCTCATAAAATATTTACGAATAAAGTAACTGATGAATTTATGCTTCAATTTTATTATTTGAGTAGAGGATTTGTACTCCAAGAATGCTTCCTGTGTATTCAGTGTTTTCTTGAAATGATTAATTGGAGTCTTTTTTTTTTTAAATCTCAAAGACTAATGTATTTCATTTTTTCGTAAGTGTTATGTAGCATCTATAAAAGATGCCATTATATCCTATTTTTGTTTTACTGTTTAACTAAAATTTGAAACACATTTCCAGATATAAATGAGGTCAACTTTGTATTCATTTTAAACAATCAACATATTTGGGATTTGAGATTCTTTGTCTTTGATAATTGGTTACTGAATAGATTTTTAACTGTGACAACTAATAGTGAATGGATTTTTAACTATACTAGTTTCCTAAACAAATGAGTTTTACCTTTTATGGTAAAAACTTTTGCCTAAAAGGATTTGTATAAATAACTGAATTGTCATAGTGATGGTATAAAGTTTAGATGTGCCATACTAAAAATGTTTAAAACGAATTGTTTATAAATTTAATGTACATAGTATTTGTGTTTGTACGCACAAGTCATTATTATTTTTTACTTATTATATGTTTAGGTTTACCAGTTGGGGAAAAAGTCATTAAAGTATCAGCTCATGACCCAGACATGAATTCTAAACTTCGTTATTCAATCATTGAGCCTATTACTGCTCGTGATAAAACTGGAGCAATTGTTACATCCTCTTTATCAGATCATTACAAGGTAAAAGTTTTTGAAAGAAATGTTTAGTGCTGATCTTGTCCATTGGCCAATTGTTGGGATTTTTAATATAAAAGAAAAACCCTGTCTGAGAAACAATGCTGTACTGAAACATGTTTTTAAAGGAAGAGAGGTGAAATAGGGTATTGTTTAGTAGCATTTAAATTTTGTTGTTTAAAGATAAGTATCTGTACAAAATCGTTTATGTAGGTAATTCTTTTTTTTGTATGAAGTTCATTCCCTCATTGTGCCAGGTTTTAATCTTATGAAACTTCATACCTCCTTTCTCTAAACTAACCTACCTAATATATTAGTAATTAAAAAAGAATCCTTGGCATTTCAGATGCTATTTTTTTCCTTTAGTAAACCACTTTTATTAAAGTATTTTGATCAGAATTCATTAAAATAGCTGCATACAAAATAAACTTCATTAGCTAAAAACTTTAATAATGTAGTCTTGGAAGTTGTATGGTGCATTAACCCAAATCTAAAAGCTAAACGTTTTCTTTTTGTGTTTTAAAATATTGAAAAAAAATTGCCAGTAAATTCTGGCTGTGTAGAACTTTTGCTTTTGTGTATTGAAAAAAACATCTTTGCTGTTTAATATATTGATTAAGAGTATTATTTTGTGTATATTTTGAGTTTGAACAGTTTCTTTTTTGCTGTAAAATTGTTTTCATCAATTATGTATGGAAGTCATATTTAAATTAAATCTGTTATAAGTATAGGTTTACTTTGTTTATTTAAATTTGAATTCTTGTAAAGGCGTATTTTACATACATTTATTGTTTCAAAGTATAATAGAAACAACTTGAATTGCACAGTTGAGAAAAAGATAAACTTCATTCATTTAATCTCCATTGTAGTGTAACATATCATTTTTGTTTCTTAAACTTTAGACAGCCTTCAGGATAGATGGTACCAATGGTGAGATAATGGTTAATATGCCCCTGGACTACAGTTCGGTATCTGTCATCATTCTCACAATTCAAGCAGTAGATCTGAATGCTGTTAATGCTGCTTCTGGAAAACAACAATCATCAACTGGTTTGAGATATTCTATAATCTTGTATTTATTTCATCTGACAAACCTCATTTTTTTAAAGTTATAAAACAAAACATTTGAGCTTTTGCTCTTTTATTAGCAATAGTATTGAGGTGTCTTTTAAAGTGAATTGTAAACTCAAAGATCATATTTTAAGTTATAGGTCAAGCTTTTGATGTTTGATAGCTTGTACAAATTGGTTTGTTTTTTCTGTTACACATATGCTGCTAAATAAATGATTACACAAACAAAATTGTATTAATCAATATTATATTATTTTATGTAGTTTTGTGTTTTGATAACAGATTTTGTGGATAAATGTTCTAATGCAATTTATGCAATGGTTAATTTCTTCCAGATATATTTCTATCTAAGATCTGGAACCTGTTTTCGATTGTTTTAATGTAAAGGCAAAAATGCTGTAATGAGTTTTCAAATACTTAATTTGATTTGTTATTTGATATTTGGCTAAAGCAGTCACTTAGACTGTCCACATTAGCCTTATTCCAAATATTAGACTCAATAAAATTTACACTGTTATCTTCCAAGAATTAAAATCCCACCCCCTCCCAGCCATTAACAGGGTTCTGGTACTTTTTTTTTTCTAGGAATTAAGCACTGCATTTAGGCATGCATGTGATTCTCTTTACTATGTACTATTTCAATCCATTCTGTGTCTGACTCGTAAACTTCAAATCTTTAGAAAATGTCATTTATTAAAATGTTCTCTGATGTGAAGTTGTGATAAATTGTTTGCTACCATTTCTGTATGAAGAACATATATTGCTTCTTTAAATTCCTGTTTTTGAATTTTAAACTAATTGGTGTGTTAAAAACAGTAGAGTGTGTATGTATATGAATCACAGGATTGCATTTTTCTTAGATCTACATTTGGACAAAAAATATAAGACCACTTAAAATTCAATGTGGTTTTTGAAATATCGTTTGTTAACTTTATTGATCACCAAGTCATAATAGTAGATTTATTTCTTAAATATTCTCTAATGTATTGGCATTTAACTATTTTTCTCATATAGTACATTCTTACTGTTCAAGCCATGTGATGTATTTATTTTGTTGTAGCATATCTTAATGGAATTATTTTCTTTAGTAGTCTCTGTTTGTTAATTTTCAAGTATTGAGTTTTGGCCTTTAGAATGTGTTAATTTCATTATTTCTTGGTTTGCAGTAAAGAGCCTTGTACATAGCATGGTTTTTTGTTCTATCTTAAAATTCTGTCCCACTTTTTTATTTCTTTTACTTGATTTTTTTAGTGTAAAATTATCCAGTAACCTGGCTTTTATTAATGTAAATGTTTTGTGTTAAGGAGTGATTATGTGAATCGTAACTCATGCTCTGTTTTTTACTTTTTCTCTTATTATTAATCTGTATTTTTTCTTCTGATTAGTTTCATATATGTTGTAACCCTTTTTTTATTAGTCTCGTATATATATTGTATTAATATTTGATATTTCAGATATGATAGTTTAGTATTAAATGCCACTATTGTTTGGCATACTTTTATATTTACAGTTAAGGATGGTTACATGTTTTGTATTATAACAGTTTGTTCTTTTACTTCTTTGGAGTACTGCTTGTAATATATGAAGCCTTATTTTAATTATTTTGTTGTTTTAATGGCTTGAAAATTTGAGATCATTTCTAGTGTTGTTTTTTATAATAAGGTCTATATCAATCTTTATAAGTCACCTGTCTGATGTTTCCAACACTTAAACAGAGCAGAAGAATGTTCAAAATCTTTGGGACACAGACTCCTAGCCTCTAGAAATCTTGAGGACTGAGAGTTAAATGTTTTAATGTGAATTATATTGTCTCTTGTTATATATTCTACTTTTTTTTTTCAACATTTAGAAAAACAAGCTTCTTTCTTGCAGTCAGTTGGATGATATCGTTATTATTTTTATAAATTTCTGTGTTCAAGATTTAATTGGTTCCAGTAGCAGCATTCAGGTCCAAGTGCTTTGTCAATTATGGCATTGCCTTCTAGCTACTACTGATTTGAGGTTTTGTATATTCCTTTATCCATTTGTACCCAAACTAAAATCTGTTCTGTATTACTATTAACTTTTGACTTGGTGATGCTTGTATAAAAATAAAAATAAATATGATTCTGAGGTAAATGTGTTTCCTGTAAATGTAATCCATTTTTAATTTCTCTCTAAACTCTTTTAGTTGAAGTGACAATTTACATCCAAGCTCACAGTGATGTAAATCCAGTTTTTGCTCCTCCATGGACTCCATCAAATCCAAAGATAGTGATTTCTGTTCCAGAAGAAGCTTCAGTTGGTTCATCTTTATTGACCCTCACAGCAAGAGATCCACTGACACATAAAAGTGTCTCCCATTTTCAAAAAATTAGTGAATCTGATGTGCATAACTATGTGTCAGTCAGTCCCTTCTCAGGTATTTTGTTTTATTTATTATATTATAAATACATGAATAAAAAAAAAACTAAGTTTCTTAGCATTTAATTTTTAGAAGATTTTTTAGAAAATCTTGATAATGAATTTTAATTTAGTTAAAAGAGAATATTAATAATTATGTTGATGGCTAAATTTTAAACATATAGTACCCATTGAATTAGATGTAATTTATCACATGTGCATGAAAGCACCTTTAGTGTTTTCCATATCTTAAGGATAATTAAATTACAGGTTTCTTAATACCTTAATTTAAATGTTAAAATTATTTTAAAGTTTTACTTCACATTATTAATCTTAAATTATTTTTAATATTGTTTCTATTATACTGAATCACAATTGAACATTTGATAAAGTCATGTTTTGTTTATGAAAACAGTTTTAGGCATATCTGTCCTTCATATATAATTTTTTAAGATTTTAAAATGTTACAAATACTTTGTTTTATGTTCAACTTTTTCTAATGGTATTTTCGTAATTAATATATTTAATTACTTTTCATTTTCTCTCTCTCTCTAGTCACTTAGCTTTGGTTTTAGTTTTATGCCTGTATCTCATTAAGCTGTTGAAAATTAATTTCACATTCTTAATTAAACTGAAAACAGTCTCTTGCTCTGTTCAAGTTGTTTTTTTCTTTTCCCACTTCAAGCAGTTGTCCCCATCTCTTAAGATAATGCCAAATAGTTTTCAGCTGGAGAAAGACAAACACCCAAATAAAAGATAAATGAAGAACATGTTCATTTAAATATGTGTTTTATTCAAATGGAAGTGTACAAAATATACATCTAGTATTTCATCTTTTGGATGATTTGTAAAAGAAAAAAAATTCTGTAGTTTTAACAAATTTGGAAACCTCTTTCCTCTTTTGTGTGTAATATCCTGTATTAATGTGTATATATTCATATATGGAATCTACCAGTAATTTGATTCATTGAGACATTGTTTCTAGTGTCATATAAGATTGCCTTCACTACTTCATTCTGTTTTTTCCCCCATTACAGGTTACAGTACAGTTTTAGAGTTTCAAAGAGGGCACACTGATATAAGTAGTTTTTTTTTTGTTGTTTTTTTCATCTTCCTTTATTTGGATTACCTTCTTCTCACTTGTGTCTCTTGAACAAGATTATATTTTCATGTGCTTGAACACAATAGTTCAAGAGCTTAGCATTCTTAAGTTACTAAAATGGAGTTATGGAGTTTATGGGCTTTTGTATTTGAAAACTGATCATTTTATAAAAAAAAGATTTTAAAAATTTCCTTCTCTCTGTATTACTCCATTATTAATTATTTCAATTGAGTCGAAACTTGATATAAAGCTGTTAAACATTAAGCAATTTATTGCTATTGTAACAGATAGAACCATATGGGTAGGAGGGTGTTACTAAATATTTCTGTGTATGTTTTTAATATCAGGTAGTTCTCCCACGATTTTAATTACACTTTTTTTACTTTATTTTGTCTGGATTAAAAAAGAAAAGAAATGCACTTCTTTATTTCCTTTACTTTGCAATTCAAATGCATTGCAAGCATAATTTCTTGGAAAAACTTGATGCCAGCAAGTGGACTACATGTTTTACTTTTGTTTCTTACTATGAACATCAGTATTCTATTTATTTTGCTTATGGACACTTTACTGGAATCCTAAGTCAAAGATGTGCTTGGATCTTAACTGAGTGTCAGTACTTGCCAAGGATTTGAAACCAAAATCATGAGTCAGAATTGTACATCTTTTCTGAAAGTGATCAATGACAGAAATGCAAAATATTACTGTTTTCAATGGACCTACCTTTTTATTATTATTAATCATCTAGATTCACTTAAATAAGTATTTCACATTTTTGAATGTGTGTGGTTTGAATGATGGTGAATTTTCTGAACAGAAGGAAGTTTGTTTCTTCATTATTAAATGCAAAGCTACACAATTTTTAGCATTATAAGCCCTAAGACTTACCACTGAGTCACTAGAGGGCATACAAAGAAGATTAGAACAGTTATTTATGCCGCTTCTTTTAGATATTTAGTTATCTTTCCCTCTTTTTTTTGTATTTATGAATTTGATGTTTGTTGATGAAACTTTTCTTGGCCTTGAGTTTAGTAACTATAATGACGGGTCCCTATTCAACTTTTAGTTATTTGTGTACAAAGTTCTTCTTTGAATGGAACAATTTATCTTATGTTAAACACTAATCTTTTACTTTTTGGTTTTATTAACTTTAAAGATCATTGTCACATACTTTTTTTTATGTTTTAATTTCAAATATTTGCTGCTGAAATTAAGAGTTTTGTAGGAGAAAAATGTTCTGTAAGAATACTTTTATATCTACAGCAGATATTTTCCTTCCTCTTTGACATTATTTTGGATGTTATAGTAAACTGTGATCTATAAGTAAAAATGCTTTAATTACTGAATGCTGTTTTATTTTTAAATGTTCAAAAATATGGGTTATGCTAGTGATGAACCAAGAGTTTTTTTTGCTGATTTTTAATAATGTGAACAGTTAATATAAAATATTTATTACTAACAATGTCAATATTTTAATAACTTAGGAGCGGTTACTCTTAATCGTCGGCTCGACTTTGAAGAGCTTCCTTTAAAGCATATCCGTTTTGATGCCAAGGCTTTG